AAATTCGTCCATTTCAAATCAATTTCAAATTTAATGATCTAATTTCAATTCAATGTTAAATTAAATCATCCAATTCCAATTCAATGTGAAATCAAAAATTCGTCCATTTCAAATCAATTTCAAATTTAATGATCTAATTTCAATTCAATGTTAAATTAAATCATCCAATTCCAATTCAATGTGAAATCAAAAATTCGTCCATTTCAAATCAATTTCAAATTTAATGATCTAATTTCAATTCAATGTTAAATTAAATTATTCAATTTCAATTCAATGTTAAATTAAATCATTCGATTTCAAGTCAATGTGAAATTAAATCTGTCCACTTCAACTCAACGTTAAATTTAATTATATTTCAATTCAGTGCGAAATTAAATGATTCAATTTCAATTTAATGTTATAATTAAATCAGTAAGTCAATATTTAAATTCAACAATAAATTATATTATTAAGCACATTGATTAATAATGTTTAATTGGTGGTCAAATCTAATTACTGTTTTAGAAATTGGAAGAGAACATGCAGAGATTAAATGCGTATTTGAAAAAATTAGCTTCTCACCGCTTCACTTCGTCAGCAGATTGAGCAATGAAGAATCCCTGAGTATTTGCAACGATCTTGGCACCACGTGGATTGATCGAGATCTTGCTGTCGCCACCTCCTTCGCCCTTTATCTCGATCGCCAGCAGCAACAGCTTCAGTTTCGTGAAGCACAACCTGGGACGAGTGATCGCATAGTATTCGGCACTATATGGTAGCTTTTTTCTTCAACATCGTTACTCACATCCACGAATCAAAGGACATTTATTTGGAAATTGTTACGTGTTTGAAGCGAGTGCTCGACAATTATGAAAGAACAGTTTCGGGCAGCAATATTATAGAACAATATCCATCCAACAAATGAGCTTGAAATGCATAAAATATGCACGCAATATGTAATCTCTCATTTCGATCAATTGTTTTAATTATCTAGAAAACTGTCGATGATATAATCAAAGTATTTTAAACAAAAGTTGTACGACTTTAAATAGCACACGAATTGACATAAGCATATTTCTTTTAGATTGCGGAAGTCATAATTACATGTAGAGGTTACACGAAGGTCAACAGCATTTTTGTAAACGTAGTAATATATTTTTAACGCATCGGTTGATAAAGTACAAAGAGGTACTAAATTAAGTAAACAAAACTATTAATTATAAAGATATTTTCACCGTGACCTTCAAACGGCCTCTGCGTTCTCATGCGTGCAAAAATCATTTAGTGAATGTATTTTACAGCTCGAAGTTGTTCAACTTTCGTTTGAAATATTTGTCGACTTCGCCAACGATTTCATAAATATTCAAGTTAATTAATTTAATGATGAATTAACTGTTATGATCTTGAAAAATATTTCAAGATTATCAAAGTAGTCGAGTTGGTTACTATTCTATCGCCCGAGTTCATAACGATGACTGTTGACTCGAAAGCGTGTAAGTCTCCACGATAATTAATATAATAATTAATAATAATTGTAAGCTAATTGTCATGTAAACTGGTATGAATTTGTATCGATAAGCTATGGTATCGTGATCTGTGATTTACGAGAGCGTATACTGTCTGTGATACGTCCGAAACCAAAAGCGGGTATGTTCGTTCCTTTCTATTACGTAATTTTTTACAATCAAGTGTAACATACAAACGTATACATACATAACATCAAATGAAGTCGTTTGTGCATGCTTGTCTGTATGATTCGACAACATTTGCAATGGTAAATAGCATGGTGCTGCTATTATATGTTATAAAATATAAAATGCATGAAATAAAATATATGTAAAATATAATATATAAAATATAATATGTAAAAATTATATAAAATACTATTAGGCATTTATATTTTTCACTGATTTCAGTAATCACATTTCTTCTTTATTATAAAGTAAAAATTTATTTATTGCTGAAATCAGTATACAATATTTTCTGAAACGTATTTGTAAATATTGTATACGAGTAATGTATTCGCAATTGTATATTTTATATATATGAATCTAGTTATATTAGTATAGGAGTATATTTATGATGATGAAACAAAGTATCACAGTAATACAACATAATACAATTATACTACAATTTATAATTGGTAATTAGAAATTGTTGTAATTAGAAATATATTTATGTTATTAAGACAATCGATATCTCAATTATAGTCATATTTATAATGATTTTATAAATATACTTAAATATAAGTAGACTATTCAATTTGTATTATGTCAATAAAATAAATAAATAATAATATTTGTAAGTGGTATC